AAATACCTAAGATTCCCTTTTTAACCCATAGCTAAGTACAGTGGTACATGTTTGTCATTTCAAGCTATGTGGAAGGCTGAGATTGGATCATTGTACCAGGCCAGTTCAGAAAAGTCCTCAAGACTCTGTCTCTACAAAGGAAAAGTCAGACACAGTAGCATGATCCTAGTTAGTAATAATGGGAACTCTTAAAAGTAGGTTGAGTGCAGCTAAGGTACATACCTGGGAGGAAAGAAGAACCTGTCTTACAAATAACCAGCAAAAAAAAAAACCAGGGCTGGAGGCATGGCTCAGTGCTATTGTTCTAGCCTAGCAAATGCTAGACCCTGAGTTCAAACCCCAATACTGGCAAAATGAATTTTCTTTTTAGTTGCTACTATAAAGATGATACACAAGGGGTTACCATTTCATAAGTCATGGGACAATGTTACCCTTTTCCTCATACTTTCCCAGGTTTTCCCTCACATCTCTGCCCACAAGTTGTTTATAGTTCATTTTCAACAGTCCACTAAGTCAAAATAGTTTTCTTCAATGCAAGTATTTGTTCATTTTTTAAATATATTTTTATTGTTATTGTAAAAGTGAGGCACGGAGGAGTTACAGTTTAATAAGTCAAGTAATGAGTACATTTCTTTTTGGACAATGTCACCCCTTCCGTCACTCTCTTCCAATATTCCCTCCATCCCCAACTACAAGTTGTATAGTTCATTTTCAACATAGAGTCTACTGAGTCAAAATGATTTTTAATATAGAATTTAAAATATTTTGTAGATGAAAAGCTTAGGCACAGTCTATGTTATCCTAAGCAAATCTCATTTAATTTTGAATTGCTTGCTCTATAAAATATAAATAATAAAATCAATTGTTAATAAAAAGATCTACAACTGCTTAGAACTTGTCAGTGAGGGAAAAATTCCAATTCCGTGTATAATGACTGAACATAGAGATAGATAGGCTCCCAGGCATGCCCAGTTTGTCAGTTTTTAACCAGAATACAGTATCTTATCTTGTAAAGACATAAGCCAATTACAAGTAGGGTTAAGCACTACAGGAAACAAAAAGTTCCAGGAACAAAGCAAAACAATATTCGGAGGAAGAGTATGAACTTGTTCTAAGTTCTCTCATGCATACCTTAACCATAGCAAGTCTATTTCCACTTGGATGCGCCCAATAAACAAGAGTGTTCTGCTCCCATTGACAATAAGACAGTCACCATATCTTCTTCAATCTGGGGATATTTCCTAAGGAATATCATGATTATCTCGGAAGAGGGGAAGTAGGAGAACACTGAATATGCTTTTAATCTGAAAGCAACACTTTGGAGTTACTACTATTGTGTGTGTGTGTGTGTGTGTGTGTGTGTGTGTGTGTGCATACTCATGTACATGTGTGTACCAATGCTAAGGCTTGAACTCTGGGCCTGGACTCTGTACCTGAGCTAGTTTATGGCAGCACCCTACCACTTGAAATACAGCTCCACTTCCAGCACTTTAAGCATTCATTGGAGATAAGAATCTCACAGACTTTCCTGCCTAGGTTGGCTTCAAACCTTGATCCTCAGATCCCGTCTCCTGAGTAGCTAGAATTATAGACATGAGCCAACAGCAACCAGTAAGTTATTAGTGTTTTTATTACCAACAACCAAGCCCTGAGTCATACAGCTCTCACCGGATAAAGTTTTATGGATCTTAATCCACTTAATCCTTGTCTCAACTCTGTTATATGAATAATTACTATCTTCATCTGTAAGATGAGGAAATTGAGGGGCAAAGACCACTTTAATTACCTTGCCCACAGCCACACAGCTGGTAAGAAGAACCTCAAATGACTGTCACTATCTTTTACATCAACCAAAGCTGTATATTTGGCTTTCATTAGTGAGAACCAAGCCAAAGAAAGTTTTAATTCCTGGTTTGACTTGGACTTATTGGATTAATTATAAATTGAGTATTTCAACTAATAAACGTGTTCCCTGAAATGAACACTATGAGGAATCAGGCCACTGACAGCTTGGGCCATGGGGTAGCTAGAAAGGAGATGGGTGGAAGAGAGAATATACAAACAGCCCATTTGCTCAGTAGGACTCATGAAATTCAGAAAATCCAACTCTTTAGACTTTTTCCAAATAGAAGCCAGGCACCTATTGGGATGTCCATATTCCAATTGTACTTCATTTTTTTTTCTTCATGCCTTTTTGTTATTATAAAGGTGATGTACAGAGAGGTTACAGTTACATAAATCAGATAAAGAGTATATTTCTTTGTGAACAGTGTCACCCCTTCTCCCCAGCTCTATCCTATTTTTCCCTCCCATCCCCACCCACAAGTTGTATAGTTCATTTTCAATGTAGTGTCTTGTGGTCACTACATTGTGACCTGCACCTGGTCACCCTTTGTCCCTCTATTTCTGTGCCTCTCCTTTACCCTCCCCAAAGACAGATAAACAAACAAGACAAAAGGAAAAGAAAATAGAAACAGCCACAAAGAAAAAAAACTCATTTTCGTTTCCTGGCGTTCATTTCTATAAATATTGTTTTATACGATGCACGTAGGTATTGTGCCTTTGTGTTCCTCTCCCAAGAATATCCTCCTTTGGTCTCACTGTGTATGAGTGCCTAGAGGCCTGTAGAATGTATCATGGCTGGCATGCGGTATGTTTGCTTGTAAATTTTTAGGCACATTCTAGCTACCACGAATGAGGGAAACCATGCAACGTTTTTCTCTGGGTCTGGCTTACTTCATTTTCATAAGGAAGGATTATTGAGAAAAGGAGGGAGAGTGGCAGGACAGATGTTTGAGGGCCTTGCCATCTTTAGCTATCACATCCAATAACTATATATCATGTTATACTATATAGTCAGCCCATGGGGTGGATTAGAGAGGGGCACAATGAAAACCATATTGGTTGTTAATTTGTATGTTAAATTGAATCAACAGATAAAGCCAATGAGTCAGACTATCTTCATCCACTTAGCTTACAATTCACTACCTTTCCTGTGCAACAAGATTCTGAACTATTACCTGGTTTTCAATCTGGACAATCGAGCAAAAATGCACCTGCATTTGAAATTCATACAAATTTAAAGATTTTTTTCCCCCAAAATTCAGCTTATGCCATCTTATGTGTTTAGTTAAATGATCCACCCAAGAGAGATGAATCTATTTGCTTGCTGAAGAACTAATCATTCAGTATTAAGTATCCTTAAGTCTGAGGCAGATCTTGGTCCAAGGTAGTGAACACCATGCTATGAATCCTTTGCAGGTCCCTCCTTTAATGCCCCTCTTTATGCTCTATATGGTTTTCTTTCTCCTATATTAATTACCTATCAGGGTAGTTGCAAAAATTAGGTAAGATAACAGTTACTATGCACTGTAAGTTTATTATGTATGATAGATGAATGTTCATTATTTTCTCCCTGTATTCATCTCTAGAATTTATTGATCCAGATGGAAAGAGCCAGCAATGACAAAAATTATCAGCTCATGCTACATTATAGAATTATTTAGTTACTTAGTGCTGGTCCTGGAGCTTGAACTCTGGGCCTAGTCTCTGTCCCTGAGCTTTTATACTCAAGGCTAGCTCTCTACCACTTGAGACACAGCTCTACTTCTGGCTTTTCTGGTAGTTAATTGGAGATAAGAGTCTCACAGGCTTTCCTGCCTAGAGCTGGCTTTAAATCAAAATTCTCATATCTCAGCCTCCTGCGTTGCTAGGATTACAGGCGTGAGACACCAGCGCCCAGCTTAGAAATTTTTTGTATTCAGTGAGAGAACCAATCTCATGAGTGCTGAAGGAAATGACTTTTCTCTAACTTCTCAGATTCTGAAAAAATAGATCATTTTATTCAAAAACATTTTCGGAGATGGCATGCGCTCTTTCAAAAGACATGTCAGAAGCCAACAGGAGTGAAAATATAATTTCTACATGTAAATGGGATGGTAAAAGTAGAAAGGCAATATAGATTGCTCCAAACCCAAAGTCAGGAAGAAAATCAGTACACCACATTGCAACTTCCACTGGAACAATACCCATGCAAGTTCCCTCACTCTCATGATAAAAGTAGTATCAAAAGAACAAATAGTAAATATTATAAGGAACAATCAAAGTATTTGGGCTGATTCATGGTTTGAGGTGATCTTAAGAGTGGGGGCCAGGCCGGGCGCTGGTGGCTCATGCCTGTAATCATAGCTACTCAGGAGGTTGAGATCTGAGGATCGCAGTTCAAAGCTAGCCTGGGGAAGGAAAGTTCATGAAACTCTTATCGCCAATAAACCACCAGAAAACCGGAAGAGGCGTTGTAACTCAAATGGTAGAGGGCTCACCTTGAGCTGAAGAGGGACAGCGCCCGGGCCGAGAGTTCAAGCTCCATGACTAACAACAACAAAAAAAAGTGGGAGCCAGGTGCTGGTGGCTTACACTTGTAATCCTAGATACTTAAGAGGCTGAGATCTAAGGATTGTAGTTCAAAAAGCCAGTCTAGGCAAGAAAGTCCTTGAGACTCTCCTCTCCAATTAACTACTAAAAAGCCAGAAGCAGAGCTGTGGCTCAAGTGGTAGAGAGCTTCCTTGAGCAAAAACGCTCTGGGACAGAGCCCAGGCACTGAGTTAAACCCAGAACCAGCAAAAAGAAAAAAGTGAATAACTTTGTGATTAAGTCAATTTTGAGAGTTATTTTCCTTTGTAATACTCTTATGAAACCCTTTTAACTTTTGCCACACCTTTGACACCTAAGGCAAATTTTAGAAATATGAAACAATCAACCTCAGGACAATTCTATTTCCTGCTTGTCTGCATTTTTTATTTGCTTTTCTTTGTTTCTTAGTATTGTTTTGTTTCATCTTGGTTGTGGGTTTAATGAAATGTGGTGTTGCAAGTCCTCTTTCTGAGTTGCTTCATGGCTCTGTGACAACCCACAGCTGTCTCAATCAACCACACAGACTGGTATAAAGACAATGCATGGAAAACCACATTGGCCACCAGGATAAAGAGAAGACTGCATACCTCGTTCGAATTTTAACCGCTGATAAAGCTGAAACTGATCCACAGGTACCAAACAGGCAATCTGAAACCAGAGACATTAGAGAAATAAGACAGATGTCAGTCATCATATAAAGCCTGACCTATAAGCCTTTTATGATTTTTCTTTCTGGCCCGACTCACTACATCCTGACCCTTTTAGCTGTCTGCAGGATTCAGACTCATCCAGTATTCCTGAGTAAATAGTACCACAGATAAAAACAGTTGTCAAACCACACCCTCCTTCTGTAGTGCTCAAAAATCTGCTCAAGGCATCAGTTACTATACTCATCAGCTGCTTTTCATTCTTCCATCAACAGTGACTAGAGCCATATAAGTCCAAATATTAAATTTGGATTTCCTACATTATATGTTTAAAAGACATTCCTTTCCTCTCTACAGTAATTTAAGGAAATTTAAAAAGACTATACTTCGGTCAAGGATGTTAGTTCACAACTTTAATTCTAGCTATCCAGGAGGTTAACATCCGAGGAAGGTAGTTCGAACCAACCTGGGGAGAAAAGTCCCTAAAACTCATCTCCAATTAACTCCTAAAAAGCCAGAAGAAGACCTGTGGCTCAAGTGGTAGAGCAATAGCTTTGAGTTAAGCAAAATGTAAGGCCCTGAATTCAAACTCTAGTAGCAGCAAACTCCTCCCACCCATACACAGAGACTATATAGTTCTAGTTTTTGAACTTTTAAAACTATGATCATACTAGCTCAGGAATTGAAACCTCATCACCTAGGGAACAGTTTTTTTTTTTTTTGGGTCAGTCATGGGGCTTGAACTCTGGGGTCTGGGCGCTGTCCCTGAGCTTTTCAGCAAGGCTAGCACTCTACCACTTGAGCCACAGCACCACTTTTGGTTTTCTGGTGGTTAATTGGAGATAAGAGTCCCACAGACTTTCCTGCCCTGGCTGGCTTTGAGCCATAATACTCAGATCTCAGCCTCTTGAGTAGCTATGACTACAGGAGTGAGCCACCGGCGCCCAGCTAGTGAACAGTATTTTTTAAACAATTCTTCCACAAAAATGACTTCACGTCCTGAGTTATCGCATATTGACACTCCAGACCTTGTAGAAAAGATTGTACATAAAACATTCCTGTTACCTACTCTCTATTTCTGTTTCAGATGGCAAAATGAAACAAAGCTTACTAGTAAACAACAATGATTCATAGCTAACTCAGTGACATTAATCATCTGAAAATTATATTTCAAAGACAGATGTAGGAAAGGCTGGCTGGTCTTTCATTGACGTCAAAAATATTGAAGTTGCTTAAAAAAACTATAACTGAGGAAATGAAGGGATTATTGATAGTCAGTCCAGAAATTTAGCAGGTTGTTGCAGGAGACAACCTTAGTCTTGATAATTCCAACTCTGTGTGTATATCTGTATTTATGTGTGTGCATATATATGTGTGGGTATATAGACAAATGAAGTAGTGTTCAAGTCATGATGGAGATGTTAAAGAGCCAAGAGATCATTTCCTGCTTTTGTCACTGGTCATTGTGCAGGGACTGCAACCAACCTAATGCTGCTTCAACTTTAAGGTCACAATGGCATCATCTGAGCAAAGAGACATCAAACAAAAGTCCAGGAACCTATTTATAACCCCTTCCCCCAAAAGCTATATGAGGTCATTGGTTTTATGGGACCATTCTGTACCCTCCTTATCCCTATACAAAATCATCTGTGGACTGATGCTGACTTTTTTGAAAAGTCTGTCAAAATCAATCTCTAAAACTTTTGACTTTTCCATGACAAGAAATTTATATAACAGTTCAGTTATATAAAGCTTATGAGAGGCAAAGAAACAGAAAATAAAATGTTTTAGACCCAGATAAAATGCTACTCAGAAAAATGATATGGTGGGGTGGGGGTGGGTGGGGAATGCAGTTATGATATTCAGTGCATATCCTATGAAAATAAGAAAATTGAGGGAAAGGGAATTATGAAAAGAGTGATGCCAAGCAAGACACTTATAAACTGATTTGTGGAATGATAAATCCTTTGTATAATTACTTAGAAATAAAAATATAATTTACAAAAAGAAACATGATAGGCACCAGTGGCTCATACCTGTAATCTTAGTTACTCGGGAGACTGAGATCTGAGGATTGCAGTTCAAAGCCAGCCCGGGCAGGAAAGTCTGTGAGACTCTTATCTCCAATTAACCACCAGAAAATGGGAAGTGACCTTGTGGCTCAAGTGGTAGAGCACTTGCCTTGAGCTGAAGAGTGGAGGGACAGCACCTAGGCCCAGAGTTCAAGCCCCACAACTGACCAAAAATAAAAAGGAGGCTGAGATCTGAGGATTGTAGTTTAAAGCCAGACTGGGCAGGAAAAAGCTAGAAGTAGAACTGTGGCTCGAGTGGCAAAAAACACTAGCCTTGAGTGCAAAAGCTTAGGATGGAAGAAAGGAAGAAGGCTAGGAAGGAAGGAAGGAAGGGAAAAAGGCAAGGAGGGAAGGAGGGAAGTTCCAAGGAAATACTTTCAATGAAAAAAAGAAAGAAAGAGAGAGAAAGAAATTGAAAGAAAGAAAGAAAGAGAGAGAGAGAGAGAAAGAAAGAGAGAGAGAGAAAGGAAGGAAAGAAAGAAAGAAAAAAAAGAAAGGAAAGAAAAGAAATTAATGCTGTAAGAAGTCACCAACAATTAGAAATTAGATCAAGTTCATCAGGATCCACATTACTGACAACAGGGAAGTCACAGATCTTTATTCTCTGTCCCTTACTGTAGCTTGAATCTCCCATTTAGTATTTCAAAAGTCAAGGCTTAACAACAGATTATGCTTTAATAAGTTAAACTAATTTTTCCATTAAAGTTTGTGATCATAAAAGTTAATTACATCACTGCTCACTCTGATCCTTTTTAGAATAGAGACAATACCTAATCTGGGTGTTGGCTCATGCCTATAATCCTAGCTATGTAAGGGGCTGAGATCTAAGGATCCTGGTTTAAAGCCAGCCTAGGCAGAAAGGTCTATGAGACACTTATCTCCAATTGACCAGCAAAAATCCAGACGTGGAGCTGTGGATCAAGTAGGAAAACATCAGCCTTGAGTGAAAAAGCTAAGCAAGAGCAGCACTATGTCCTGATCTCAAGCCCTAGTAATGGCATTAAAAAGAAGAAAAGGAAAGAACAAACGAAGGATGGAGGGAAGGAAGGAGATAATATCTAGAAAAAATCTATCTTCTATAGCCTTGTCCTTTAGACTTCTGTCTTTTCCATGGGTTGGTTAACAGCCCACCATGGAGAAAGCACTGGGCTATGCAGAAGTTACAGAAGATGTATGCTGACGGCGATGAAATTGCTCAGAAGACAACGCATACAAACAAGACTGAAAAGGATCATTCCTTGCTCTTGTCACCCCTTGGACTTTCCAGAGTAAGATACATTTTCTAAAAATGTTTCTAGCACACTTTAAATGAGAAATGAGGTTTTTAAATGAGAGGTAATTGGTCCTGGTTTAAACAGTAACAGCCCATGATGCAAAGTATTAAGTTTCTGGTTCCGTTACCATCTGGAGCTAAGTCACTATTGCACCTGGTCTCCATTTCTACAATTCTACAATTGAAATAACTCTGTTAGAATGATTATTTTGGAAGACTCCATCCAGCTGCAAGTGTAAGGGCCTCAACTTACTTTTTGAGGGCATTCATAAATAACTCTAAAATTGTCAGGCTGTTAGCCTGACATCCTGGAGATTAAAAAGCAAGATTTTAAAGAGGAATCTAACAGTATACATTTCTGCCAACAAACAAATTTCAAATCATCCAAGAGTCACACCAGAAAGCTGTATTTTTAACTTTTTATTTTGAAATAATTTTAGACTTACAAAAAGCTGCAAAATTTGTAGAGTTCCTGTATGTCATATTCCCAACTTGCCCTAAAGATAAAATCTTATGGAACCATGGTTATTGAAATAATTACAATGCTATCCTCAAACTAAATAATTGACATGCCTTAATGAAACTTTACAAATTGACCCACAAATGTTTTTTCCTGTCTAGAATGCATTCTGTTATTCTGTGTGGTCTTTCCTTGGGCCTCCTCTGACAAGTCTTCAGTTTGTCTTTTCCTCTCAGGACCCTCATGTATTTGGAGAGTACAGGTGAGTCATTTATACAATATTCATCCATTTGGATTTGCCTGGTGCTTTTCTACAATCAGACTGAGGTTAAGCATTATTTTTAATTTTTGCCAAGAATATCACAGGTGATCTTAGCTCATGAGAAGGAATATGAAGACCATGTATTACCACTATTGATATTATTCTTAACTTGATTTGTTATATAGGAATTCGATTAGGGAGATAGAGAAAAGCCCCATTTTGAGAGGTTGAATTGATAGTCCTTATTAGAAAGCCAGTGACTGCAAGAGGACTCGTGTCTCAAAAACTTGCAGGCAGTAAGGACAAGATGGCAATAATGAGATCCAGTATTCATATTTCAAATGTCTGCCAATTTTCTCCATCCTTTGTAATTAACAAGTAATTTATATAAACCGGTTTAATTAAGAGTCTTAAAGATAAAGAGCACGCACGCGCGCGCACACACACACACACACACACACACCCCTTTCTCCATGTGTAGGAGACACAGACGATGAGAAGAGAGGGACCCATGGACCAACACTTTACTGGATTAGAGCACACTTGTCAAACAGGTTTCACATGAGGAGTTTTAACTGGTAGACTCAAGTTCTGAAAGTTCGTGTGAGCTCTGAGGATCAGTAAAGTCATTGAAGTCAGCTCTATCTAGCTGGCCCAGAGGGAGGTGGTCACTAGGAGGAAGTTAGGTAAAGCAGATCTGAGAACTGACCACATTGAGGAACTGGAAGGAGGTATTGAATTGGAAACTAGGTGAAGGGTGATGGAGCCCTAATTCTGGTAAGAGAAAGTCCAACTTGTACTCAGAATGGATGTGAAGGCAACATAAAATTGTAGTCATTCACTATTGGGGTATTCTTTCAGTCTATGAAAATCCTATTCCTTGTCATCTATTTGCCCACTAATTTTAGTGTCTACTCACAATCCTTCCCAAAAA